TGGTGTGGCGGCGGCGTCGTCAGCTGTGTTGGCGGAGGTCCAGGGCTGGCAGGGGCCCTCAGCGCCCGTGGAGTCAGTCACCGCCGGCTTCTGGGAGATGCAGCCATTGTTCTGGTTTGCATCTGCCTCACCCAGTCCTGCGCAGAAAACAACAAGGGTCATCTATGGACTCAATGCCCGCATGGCACACAACAAAACCGCAGCAGCACAATGGGCCCTTTAACTGTGCAGTGGGCCTTCCTGCTGCAGCAGCAGAGACCGACATTTCACAGATTCTCATCTGTGCAAAATCTGGCAAAGATCGAACAACGCCATAACCGAAAAGATAACTCAGATCTGAGTTCTTGTTTGGTCTCTGAGATCATTGGTTGATCTTTCATGTTATTTTTCAACACCTTTCTGTTGCCAGAAAGTGTAGAACACAAAGTTAAACCAAAACTGGATCATCTACTGTGGCGTGTTTTTCTCTGAACCTTGAGTCATGAGAACACTTGAGTTTCAGGTAGTTTCATACATTGTTGAGTTGCTAGAAAAAAAATGACAAAGAAAACAAGAAAGATAAATAGATCTGCCAGGCACATTCAGGTCGCACCACTTTTGTAACTAAATCACCTCCACATAAATTCAACCCCGGTGGTATCATGGGTAATTTTTCAACAAAGCTCGTGCTACGGTGAGATGAAAACACAGTTGTTCCTGTAAAGTCCACTTTGACAGCTATCCATTAAACTGCTCCACTCCCACAGCCACAGGACGTCCAGTCCATTCCTGCCTCCAAAGACAATATCCACACTGTACTGGACAAAATGGTGAAGCAGTACAGGCAGAGAATCTGCATACTGAGGCTGACGGAACAGTGGGCTCCCTGTCAGAGCTGCATAGTAAGAACAGGGAGACAAAACACCCAGTGTCACTAAAATAACTCCTATAAGTATGGATTTTCAGCTCCGTGCTCGCTGACACTTAACTGATTTGGGGCTGAGACTGAGGCCACAGCCTCCGGCTGCAGAACAGCTTCTGGAACTTTACGATGTAGAGATTGACAGCTATAGTTGTGCTGCAGTCCCAGATGGAAGCATTCCCCTGAACCACAGCCACCATCGCCTGTCATTATTTGGTTCAGTTTGTTCTCCTAAAGACAGATCGAAAGGAATGATTTGAAATGTTGATACAAATATATGGTTCCATTTGGACCAAAGCTGATCCCTGGACATCTGTGGAGATTAGTTTTCTTCTTTTAAATCTAAAGTTAAATCTTTAGAAAAGGAGAACTATTGCTATACTGAGTAAACCTCCCACTGGATAAATGTCTCTGCTGCTTTACTTTTTTTTCCAAGTTATTGGATGTCAGACGAGATAGAAGTTTTAAATCCAAGTACTGCATACAGTATGTCAAGTGTATCCAAAAGGCTATCTGGGGAAACAGAAGCTGCCATGGACATCACTAAATCATTTTTCTTTCCTTTGACAACTGATGGCATAGTTAGCATTTTGATCATAGCCAGAGTTTTTTTAAAGTAATATTTTGACTTAAGAAAACTCTTGTGTATATATATATATATATATACACACACAAGAGTTTTCTTAAGTCAAAATATTACTTTAAAAAAACTCTAAAAGATCAACATTTCCTCATTTCCAACAACCATCAAAATAGAAATTTTAGTTCAGTCTCGTGGACCAGCAAAACCAGGAAGATAATTAAGAAGCTGGGTTTCTCTTCTTTTCAGTAAGTAACTTAAGTCAGGGGTCTGCAACCTGTGGTTCCTGAGACACATGCGGCTCTTACTGATTTGCAGTAGTTCCTCTGCAGG